CCATAATCTGAGGCTCACATTCGTATTATCCATAATTTCTATGGCTTCTGTATATTCCTAGAAGGTAAATTAATACAAAAAAGGTATGGTTGTTTTAAGGCTCTTAGTACTTACTGGCACAATCCTTTCCCTAAATGCAGCAGTATTTTTCAATCCTCTGAGAATGTGAGAATGGCTGTCTCACCATTTCATTTCTAGCCATCTGTGAGAATGGCTGTCTCACTATTCCATCTCTAGCCTCAAAAACTTCCTTCCCAACAAACTGTATTAGCAGCAATAAGCAAGAGATTGGTGTATTTTTATGAAATTTACACTTTCTGTGTGTCATTAGAGTTGAATATTTTCAAGGGTTTCTTAATCATACTTTGCCAATTATCCACTGAGCTCCCAATTTTTAAAATCTGTCATACATATGGCAATATAGTACATTGATGTCTTTTAATTTTGTGATGTTCCCCATTTGCATAAGCTTTTAAAAATAAGTTTGTTTTGTTTTCAATTGGCACATAATAGTTGCACATATTTATTGGATAGTGTGATGTTTTGATACATATTAGATTGTATAATGATCAAATCAAGGTAATTAGCATATCTATCACCTCAAACACTTGTCATATTTTTTGTGGTGACAACACTCCAAATTTTCACTAGTTATTTTAGAGTATACAATATATTACTGTTGACTATAGTCACCCTGCTGTGCTATAAAACACCAACCTCTCCTCATTTCCACTCCACACTACTCTCGCAAGTCTCTGGTAACCGCTATTCTACCCTACTTCTACAAGATGAACCTCTTTAAATTCCACACGAGTGAGATCATGCAGTGTTTGCCCTTCTGTGATTAGCTTATTTCACTTAAAATAACATCTTCTAGGTTGATCCATGTTGTTGCAAATGATGGAAGTTTTTTTTTGTTGTTGTTGTTGTTTTTTTTTTTTTTTAGTGCCTCATCTGTTTCCCCATCTCAATTTCAAAGAGTCACTTCTATATTCCACTGGACTTTGACTGTTTCATTTATTTCCTATAGCTTTTTAAAAATGCATAAAATTTCCTTTGGTCCATGTGAAGTGAGAATATAAAGTCTTTTTTGTTTTTGGCCCAAACAGCAAAAAGAAAAGAAATTCTTTTATACCTTTTACTGAGTGATTGAACATGTCCTGTATTATTTGGGGTACTTTACCATATAATAAATTCAACAGCTCTTTATAGCATCTATTATCAATTAGAGATACTATTTAAGTGACATGTAGAAGAACTTAAGAATTTCCATCTTCATTTTGAATATGATCACATTAAAAGACGACTAATTCTTACGGAGGTTTTGTTGTTAATTCTATTAGGCTTTCTGTGTATATATCATGTATTTATAAAATAAGAGCTACCTTATCTCCTCTATATCAAGTCACACTTTTTAGTTTTGGTTTTGTACCTATTACCAGGTTATGGATCTACCTTTTACTATTAGTTTTCTAAGAAAGTAAGTGTGTCTATGTGTGATGTGTGTGAACACAGTTTAGCTTCACTCTGGCCTCTCCGTTGTTGAGAACTTTGTTAAGTGAGAGGGAGTCAAATGTCACATTAGTAACACAAAAACATCCTTTTAGGGCAGCACAGACCAAACCACAGCCACTAAACACATAAAAATATTCAAATTTAAATTAATAAAAATTAAGTAAAATTAAACATTCAGTTCTTCAGTTACACTCATCACATTTCAGGTGCTCAGTGGCCATATATGGCTGATAGCTCGCACACTAAATGGCACAGGTGGAGAACATTTCTCTTATCACAGAAAGGTCTTCTTGGCAGCTTCGGTCTAGATGTCTCTAAGAGCCACAGAGCAATGGCCCAGGAATTCTATTCCCCTATCCTTTTCCTCTTAGGCACATTATATTTCAGTCTAGTCTTACTCTGTTAGAGAATGTGATTCAAAATTTTAAATCCCCAAATATGTTTCTGGCACACATTTTCCTAAGCCCTGTATTTTCTTAGACATCTGGGTGGACTTTCCTTCTTTCTTATCCCAATACACTATTCTTGGAAATCACATGCCTTCCCACGGCTACAACAAGTATCAAAATACAAACAAGTCTCAAGTGTGCACACCAACCCCCAGTCTTTTCCCTGAGTTGAATTATATTTTCCCTCTGCCTATTGCACATTTACATGAGCTAACCTTAGCTATCTCACAGTCACCTGAAAACCCAAATCTTCATTAATCCTCTTTTTTTCTCTCTCCCTACCTCAATTAATATGTTTATTTAATGTTTTATTTAGCTAGCATACTCCAGAGAGGGTTTTAACCCCTCATGCTTTTTACACTGCAGGGTTACAGGCTTACAGGCTCAGGGTATCCTTAAGACTGGAATCAGGAAGAAGCATGGGAGGGATCTAAAGTGATTTGTAAACTCAGGAACTGGCAAGAGACTAGGTTCAAGACTGCATGGCAAAGACTGGCCAGAGAGACTGGATGAGGTAGCTAAGAATCCTCTTTTCTGTTCCAAGCTCACAGAAATAGTAAACCCTTAATAAATAAAGAAGTGCCCAAGATGGTGAAAGGTCCCCCCCCAACACAGCAGCCACAATAAGACAATCTTCAGACGTGGGTCCAGGTCTGTTTCAGTTCCTCCTGGCTAGATACATTCAGGACAAGAACACCATCGTGGGTCACCTGGAGCCACCTAAGGCCTGCTGAAGAGATCAAGCTAATAAGAAAAGGGGATGCTGACACAGCCAGCTACGCCAGGCCAACGGACTAAAAAAGAAGCTACCATGAAGCGGGTCTTCACCTCAAGCATGTTTCAAACACATTTCAAAAAGCACCTGACCCACCGTATATTAAACTGTTGAATGCTATTAATTACTAAATTATTTCACCACATTTAATGAATCCACACATTTTGTGTGTGTGTGTGTGTGTGTGTGTGTGTGTGTGTGTGTGTGAAAAATATACAACTTATACAAACAAGTACATTTCATAGCCATAAAATTAAATTCTCATTTAAATTATCTGGACTTCTGCTTTATCTCATAGTATGGGTGGTTGGGCGGTTATTCCAGCCGGGCAATACTTGTTTTTCTCATCTGTTCATCTCCATTTTTTAAAAAAACAGGACATCCTGGTATGTTCTAAAATGTTATGTATTAGAAAATTTGGCAGAATTTAATAATCTCTTCATATGAAGTTAATTCTGATAATTCAATTTGTTTTTTTCTTGAGGACAAATTTCCTACACTGATTACCTATCCTTTCCTTGTTCATTGTCATTTCCTCATTCACATCAATTTTCATTCACGTTGCCTTTTCAGTACTTTTTATCTCTTTGGTCTTCAGTTTTCTATTCAAAGCATAAGAGTTGACATCTTTGTCTTCCTGTTTGTCTATGTATTTACTTCAAAATAAATAAATGTAAAAATATAGAGAATAACTTCAGTTTTCTAAGTAAATATTGGCATGCATGCTCACTGTATTTATAATATAATAAGCAATTACCAAAAATGATGTGTTCAATTTATAGCAGTGACAATTTTAGGATACACCACTATGTATATTGAAAATCAGAAATTCATTCATAATTTCTGCATTACCCTTTTCCAAAATAAATATTTTACAACTTATTTTTAATTTACTAAAATTTTCTATAACAAACTTTCTGAGAATATCTGATTGCATTATGCATAGATACAAATTCTCTATTGTGTACTCAGTTTTATTTTTCCCTCTTTTTTATTAGTAAAGACATTAACAATAAAATAGGCTCACTTGCTCCAGCTGGTAATTTCTCATACTAGTAATATATTATTCCTCTTTTTGTGACATCATAATCATCTATACAGAAGTACCATGTATCTTTGTGTAGAAGCTACTGTTTCCATTAAATTTAATTACCTCCCCCTGTGGTTTTAAATAGAAGTGGCTTCAAAATGAGGGCAGCTTCTATTAAATTTAATTACTTTCTCCTGCTGCTTGTATGGTAAAAGGAAGGTTACTAAATGAGAGCAGCTTCTAAACTAAAGTATATGGTAACTGTGTGCTAGCAATAACAAAATTGTATCTAAACTACCTTTCTAGGAAGCCTCTTAGATTTATCCTTTCTCTCATTTTAATATTTTTAGCCTTAACATCCTTGAAAAATGAGCATTAAGATAGAAGGAGGCACATTTTAAAATCTATTTTAATTTTATACGCTAAATATAAAAAATATTGTTTCTTTATAAATATATTGGAAATTAAACTACACAAACATTCAAGCTCAGAACTTTTCAGACTAGTGTCATTTGTTGTTTTCTCATAGAATGATGAGTTTTATTTCCCACACATTTTTAATGTCTAGTACAAAGCCTTTCTTGATTCTGATCAAATAGATTTGAAAAATGCTTCACTAAGAGTTATTTAAAAAGCATCAAATTGGGGGCAATTTCATATAAATATTCAGAATTACTGATGTTAAGAAGTGAAAAAAGAAAAAAAATCAGGCTCATTATAGATCACTGTAGTTGAAAGGAAGTTAATTATATGCTTTGTAATAGTATAAAAATTTAAATCACTAAAAATACTATAATACAATATAATCCTATAAAATGTTATAGAAGATGAAAATGTAAGTGCCTCTCTTTAAATTAAATATTAATTAGGAGGAAATAATACTCAGTTACAGCACCATTGTACAATGTTTATTTTTTTTATATACAGGCAGAATTTAGATGAACAATATTTTCATTCAATCACACAGTTTGGTATAAATATAAAACAAGACACCCCTTAAGCATTTTAAGCAACAAATTAAACATTTACATTTTTTACTGTGCACTGAGGCTTAACATTTATGCAGCTTCAAAACCAAAGTACAGCCTCAAGGGAAGTCTCTCCACTGACAAATTAATACCTTAGAGAACAGAGCTGAATGGTGGCAATGAACTCATTTGTTCCCCAAATAATGAAGAATGACTTTTTCTTTACCACATCTGTGACTGTTGCTATGGTGACCCAGACTTACCTCATTGCTTCTCGGAGAGCTCCTCGCTCACCAAGAGTCGTGTGCTTGATGTCATCAAAATTATTCTCCAGGTTCTCACAATTCTGCAACATATTTAAAAATTGCATTAATTCTCTAAGACCCTGAGAAAAATTATATCTATGCATTTATACAAAAATATAATTGATTATATCGATTATGGACTCATGAAAAATATGCATACCACTTTATCTGGGTAGGATTCATTAAAATTGACAGTTGAATCCAACAGTAACAAAATAAAATATTTTATGATACAACTGTCACAGAAGTCTCATTATCAATTTGTCAAAGTGGATAAACAGAAGAAATAAATTTATAAAAGTAGCAACGCTTCCTAAGTTTGAAGGAATAAAAATTAGTTCTCTAAAATAATCTTAAGTATAGCAAATCCAATTCAAACTCAAAAGAGAAAACCATTAAAGTAAGTTTTAAATCACTGCAAACAGTATACTATAAATATCAAGTTCTAAATAAGTTGACTAAGACAAAGGGAAAGAGCACAGATATAATAATGAAAATTTCAAAATGTTTCAATCAAAATTTTATAATCAGATTTTTAACAATTTTATGTGTAAAATTCACAACTGTATATATATATATATATATATATGTATATGAATTTGAAATTAAATAAGTCCAATTCTTAAAATTAAGTGAAAATCAGATTAGATCAAGTTCTTAGAAGAATTTTAAGATTGAGTAAATATGATATAAGCAGTTTAAATTTCATGTGTTTCCATTTTGGTAAATACTATAGCAATACTAGACTGAATTTTCTACAAGTATTTTTTAAAATTTTCAAAATTTTAAATATAATTATGTATACTAAAAACTCAGTTAATCTGACAGAACCCAAATAGGTTTTGAGGGCATACATTGTAGAAATTATATATATGAATCTTCTGGCACCTTAGATTTCTTAGGGAATTTAGCAGTATTTCGGTAATAAAATAACTGGATTTAATGTTTTAGTTAATTTTACAAAAAGAATAACTAAATAACAAAATTTAGTATGAATATCTTCTTTCTATTCTTATATAAGTATATTGAATTTTACAAAATTACAGAAATTTTATATTAATAATTTTCAACATATAAGAATCGATTTGAAATATATTGGTATATAAACCACTATTTTTAACCTTGATTTTTTTAAACTAAGTCAAATTAAGGCATAGATCCTTTTAACACAGAGCTATATGCTTTTATAATGAAAATCATTGAAATTACCAAAATGAATCTAAATAATTAGAATTCTCTATTTTTCAAAAGGTCATTTTTGGGTGTATACATTAAAAATATCCTCTTTTGTTCTCTCTTGTCTTTTCACATTTTTAGATATGTCTTTTCATGAGGAGAACTGCTTATCTGAGGTCCAATTTATTATTTTTCTAATTTAAGTATAGCGTTTTTGTGTCCTATTTAAGAAATTTAAAAACATTCTCAAAGTTATAAATGTTTTGGATGAGACCATTAAGAAAAATATATATAATTTTTTGTTTGTTTCTTTTTGGTTCTGAAATTCTTCATCACCTTCCTCCTCTTTGTCAATCCTACTTCAATGTTTAACTTTATTTTGGCCTCCACCACTGTAGAGGAACATGTTCATAAAAGAATTAAATAACAAAATTATTTAATGTAAATTGTTTTAAACTCCTTTCCTAGCATAAACAACAGGGTTGGAAGATTACTTGATTATCTAGTTTTTCTAGCCACCAAGACAGGAGATAAATACATTCATCGATTAAAAAAAAGAGAGAGAAGGCTGTTAGAGGTGACTCAGACCTGTAATCCCAGCACTTTGGGAGGCCAAGGGGGGCGGATCACAAGGTCAAGAGATGGAGAGCATCCCGGTCAACATGGTGAAACCCTGTCTCTAATAAAAATACAAAAACTAGCTGGGCATGGAGACGCACGCCTGTAGTCCAGCTAGTTCCAGAGGCTCAGGCAGGAGAATCGCTTGAACCCAGGAGGCGGAGGTTGCAGTGAACCAAGATTGTGTCACTGCACTCCAGCCTAGAGACAGAGTGAGACTCCATCTCCAAAAAAAAAAGAGTGAGAGAGAGTGAGAGAGAAAGAAAAGTGGACACAGAGAGCTTCCAATAGCCCCACTGAACTCTCTGTGATGTCAGGAATTGAGGCCAGCCAAATTTCTGATTTAGCTGAAATGTGGTATTCCAGAGTACTTTCACTTTAATGAGAAGAAGTCTCAACTTTAATAATAAGTTTACCAGGAAGTGGCTAAAATAGCATATTTTGCTTTGATGTGGAATGGGAAACCCAAAATGAGTATTAGGTTGACTAACAGAAGAAAGAATGCTCCATGTTTTACACTTCATGTCTGCATAAAGCTTATTATGCCCAACAGAACAATAAAGGAAATAAGTAAGCATTGTAGAATTTAAACAGTTAACTATTACCTTGACTAAAAATACTTCTGTATACAGAAATTAAAATCAAATCTATTTTTATGCTTCAAGAACAATATATAGCCGTATTAAAGAACAAACACATGATTTGAAATCTATTTCAGACAATATTAGGCTCTTGCCATATAGAATAAGTATTTCAACCAACTAACATGCTTACCTGTTCAAATTTCTCCATAAATAAAAGTAAGCATCAAATATCCACTGAGTAAAGGGCAAACAAATTCACTGTCTTGTTCACCACCAATAACACTTCCCTAACATTAGAGACAACTATAGGTAAAACTGAGCCGGTGTCCTCCCATCGAAATCTGTTCTAAGCCCGTTTATACGAGGATGGATGGAAGAAAAACTGTAAACTATTTGTAATCAACAAGTATTAATATGTTATTCATTCTAGGGGATTCTATACGATTTAGTATAGGACTATCTCAAAATAACACTTTCAGGAAAAACTATGACATAAGGCGCTTACTTTACAGGATAGGAAAGTCCACAAAATTCAATAAAATTATCTTATCTGTGATAGTGGCTTGTGATTTCCACCCTTCAAGTGCCTCCTAATTTCCTTTGACCAATATAATGGCATGAGAAACCTACAACCATCACAGCAGAAGAAAGGAAAAGGCAATGGGTACACAGAGAAAAGGGGACAGAGGGAATGAATGAACAAAGTACTCCTGAGAACAGCAAGCACAAGAACAAAAATAATCAGTGATTAGTAAAAAAAATACTGGCACAAAAAGCAGGCCTGCTAGCCTAGACACTGTGGAGCAAGAAAGTGGGAATACACAGGAAAAATGGAAGGTCACAAAGGTAATAGACATACCATGTGCTATAACAGGAACAATTTAACCCTGATTAATTAGTAGAAAACTGAAATTTGGAAAATTCATATCAGCAACCATGGTACACATTATAGCTTTAATATATAATGTATAGAGTGTGTGTGTGTGTGTGTGTGTGTGTGTGTGACGGAAAGAGGGAGAGACAGAGTATTAATTAACCAGTTAATATTGAGTAGTTACTCTGGGGTTAGGTACTTTTATTAGAAACTCTAACCATTTAATCTGCGTGACAACCATATGTATTCCTATTTTACAAATGAGGAAACAACCACAGGGGAGATTAAGATAATTTGCCCAGGGTCATACAGCTAGTAAGTGATAAAGCAGGGATTTGAACCCAAGTAGTCTAGCCTCAGAGCCAGACTCAAACTCCTCAGAAGACTGCTTCTAAAGAGGAAACTGCATAAGTGAATATAACAAAGTTCTGAATAGACCTTCCTCTAGGTGTTGTCAAATTTAAATACTGAGCTGGATGGATAAGAGTTTACTAGTAGAGTCAAATGGAGCAGAAGCTCTTGCAGGATTCTGTTTTATATCTGTCTGGATGTGCTATACTTTTTAATGTAGAAAAATATGGAATCCAATATACATATTTAGGCCAAATTAATACCCATAAATATTTTGCATGCAACAGTCTTTATTTGGGTCTGTGACACCACCGTGACAAATATAATGAGCAATTAAATTCCCAAGTGTTCAGATTTTGGCAGCAATTAAAGTAGAAGCTGGAAACTAAGCATCAAAAAGAACTGGTTTTGGTGGCCTTCTGCCAAATGAATCCCCATGGGTTGAGGGAAGGTCTAGAGTTTCAACTGTGATAGATTTCATAGTTTTATATTTCATCTGTATTAAAGATTCTATAAAAGTATAATGAAACAAATAAGTAGAATACCAACAGTCACATGAAAGAAAATGATATACAAGGAGATTTCTGAACACTGAGAAATTTAAATAAGATTCACTGAGTTATCTTTGCTCAATATGCCAAAAAAAAGTCAAAAAATTAAACCAAACAACTACTGATTCTGGATGGAGGTAGAAAGAGGCAAAAAAAAAAAAAAAAAAAAAAAAAAAACCGCCAGCAAATTACATTACTAAATAAAACAATTCACTGATAAGTCCACAGGCTTAATTTCTATTTTTTATGTTATAATCATGATAACTAAAACTAAGTCTGATGTAAAATTTATATACTAACCTAAATTTAGTAAATTAGGGAATCAATTTTAATAAATGAAAAGTCATGCAGAGTTAATGGCATAGCTGTTGGAATTTAAATCTCAGAATTACTAAGTAATAAAGGCTCAAGTTAATGAATTAAGTTTCAATTCAGAAAAAAAATCTTGAAAATCTGCATGTCAGGGATAATACTATGCACAGGGATAAATAAGACAAGACTTTGACTTGCTGACATGTACTTAGAATACAGAAGAGAGGAAATAATTCTCTTGCAACAAAAGATGAACAAGAGATGACTATGAGTTTGTTACTTATGAATGCGTCTTTGAAATGATTTAAAAATTTCTAGATTAAGACAAAAAATAGGGCGAGGACTGAGGTAATAAAACTGGCTGTAGCCTCAGACTTTACCACTACTGCTTAACAGCTAAGTCCTTTGATGACTTAATTAACTGAGTTTCCTCATCATGAAATATACTTACCTTCTAGAGCTATCAGCAAGATTAAATGAGGTAATGCACGTAAATCCCTTAGTACATTGAACAATGAGGTTTTCAATAAAAGTGGAAAAAGAGGAAAGTATTCATGAACCCCAACTCAATCCTA